GCAAGGGACCTGTGGTAGTTTGCAGGATGGCCATGCCCCTCAGTGACCGAAGCAGAGGCCCTGGTATCTGGGATTTATTTATCTTGTACAATTGAAAACTTCATAGCCTGGAGTGGAGACAAACCTCCTGCTTATTCTTTGGCGGCAGCCATTTCTGTTGGGGTTTATGTATCTTCTATAAATGAAACTTTGTAGCCTTAAGCAGAGGTCTGGTCCAGCCAGGGTGTGTGGAAAGTTTGGCTTCCTTCATCACCAGAGGCAACCTTAGCCTCCTGCTCTTTCTAGCTTCGTAGCTGCCGCCATTTCTATTTGGATTTATGTATCTTCTGTCATTGAAACTTTGTAGCCTTGAGTGGAGGTCTAGGCTGGCAAGGGCAGGTGGGGAAACTCAAGCCTCCCTCCTGTTCTCTGTGGCCGTAGTTTATTTGCATATTTGCTCCCGATTGGCTTGTGGGTATGGTTTGTGGGTGTAGTAGAGTGATGGTTTATTTGCATAGTACTCTTTTATTAGATAGGATTGGTCAAACAGCTCACTGAGTTCAACCCAGAATCAAGGTGAGGGTTAGATATTGCCCCTTGAATTTTTGAAAAGTTTATTTTCTGTCTCATCTACAATTTTAGAAAAAAAAAATATTAGAAGCCACAATTACATGAAAGTATTATCTTTTTTCCCTCACTCTCCTGTGAACTAACTACAGGAGACCCAGGTTTATGCATAAAAAGATGATTTTGTGGTCCTTGACATTGTGTCTGAGTGATTATAGCATCGGCTGGCATATCGAGGTATTGTGGTTTCCAGACCCAGTCAACTGCATGTTGCCTGGGTTGTAGTTTGCTCTTCACCCCAGTTGGGGTGCATGCAGGAGGCAACCAGTCAATGTGGTTCTGTCCCATCAATGTTTCTATCTCTCTTTCCCTCACTCCCTTCCACACTCTCTCTGAAAATCAACAGGAAAATATATCCTCAGGTGAAGATAAAAACAAACAAACAAAAAAACCCAACAAGATGATTTTGTGGATGAACATAGTTTTGAGCTGGAGTGTCTATATATCCAGTGTACTTTGGAAAATTCCAGTTTATGTCTGTTATTTCTATACTGTATTTACTTGGCACCCCCTTTCATTCTCAAATGGGTACTTGCATAGATGATAAATTATACGGACACTGTGTTTGTAGTCAACTTTCTTTTGTCATTCAGAGGATAATAATCATGGCATACCTACTTTAAATTCACGTGTAACTCTTAACCTTTTTAAAAATAGTATTTTAATTGTATTTTTCATTAAATTGTAGCACTTAATCAAAATATAACTTCAGTCACACTTGTTTTTTTTTTTTTTTTTTCTCTCGTGGAAATACTGAAAAACTGAATTGAAAAAAATTCATAGAGTAGAATGAGAGAGTTAATACTAAATTTTTGTGGGTCCCTTCTGTTGTTGAATACTACCAGTTTTTACACAATTCTGTAGTGATTTTTTAAAACTTATATTTTAAAAGATACTGCCTTGCTGGCATAAATGAAATGCTCATCAGCATTTGTAAGCATTCTGATTGGCTTTGCAATTCTATTCCTTTTATGGTGTAGTAGCCAACTTTATTTTGATGCCAGAGATGTCTTTGCCTTGATTTTAAAAATGGGCTGTGGGAAAATACCCAAACAATATAGAAAGGAATGAAATACAAAGTAAAAGTTCCATTTCAGAGCCTCTTTCTCCAACTCTCCTTTACAAAAATCATCACAAGTTTAGACTTCTTACTTTTAAAAACAGTGGTTTACAACTAATACACCAGAAATTTCATTTAAAAATTTGATGGTAGCCTTAGCCAGCTTGCTCAGTTGGTTACAGCATTGGATCCTATATATCAAAAGATTGTGAATCCGAATCCAGGTCAGGGCACATACATTGGTTGTAGGTTCGATCCCCAGTTGGGGTGAATTTGGGAGGCAGCTGATTGATGTTTCTCCCTTCTCCCTTTCCCTCCCTCCTCCTTCCTCCCTTCTTCTCCCTCTCTTTCCCCCTCTCTCTTTCCCTTCTTTCCCCCTCCCCCTCATTTCTCTCTCTTCCTCTCCCCCCCACTTCCTTCTCCCTCTTCCTTTCCCTTTCTTCTCTCTCTCAAGTCAATAGACATATTTTTGGGTTGGGATTAAGAAAAATAATGAAACTTAAAAAGGATTGGTAGTAAAGCACATATAAAGGATTACTTTCTAAAATGTTCATTCACTGAGCTAAATTATAGTTGGGTCATTAATTTTAATGGTTTTAATTTTAGTATTCAGATAATCCTTTTTATATATGGTCTTTACCAGTGCTTTGAAATGATAGTTTTGTGTTTTTATGTCATGATGTTTTTTATAACTGCAAAAATTAGCATGGGGCCACAGATTCTGGCTCTTAAAATAAGTGAAACTGTGAAAAAGGAAAAATCTAAATAATCTTATATTAGTAGTATATAATGTCTAGTCTAATAATGTGCTATCAGATGCTTTTAATATCACACAAAATCAATAGAAAAAAAAAACTTTAGGGTCGTTAAGAATTGAATGCTTGACACATAATGAGTAGTTAATAAACATTACCTCTTTTATTTATATTTTTCCTCTTATCCATGCTCTTCAAGTAAAACGTCTCCCATCCAAGACTAACCAGGCCCGACCCTGCTTAGCTTCCGAGGTCAGACGAGATCGCATTCAGGGTGGTATGGCCGTAGACCAAGTAAAACTTCTCTACAGACAATGAAACATATTTAGAAACAAATGTTTCTATTTTTTATCCTAATTTTTTTTTCAATTTTTAAAAAAATATATTTTATTGATTTTTCACAGAGAGGAAAGGAAAGGGATAGATAGCTAGAAACATTGATGAGAGAGAATCATTGATCAGCTGCCTCCTGCACATCACCCACTGGGGATGTGCCCACAACCAATGTACATGCCCTTGACAGGAATCGAACCTGGGACCTTTCAGTCTGCAGACCGATGCTCTACCACTGAGCCAAACCGGTTTCGGCTTTTTTCAATTCTTAAAACATTTTTCTAGTACAATTATTCTTACTGGTCAAAAAAAAATTTTTTTTCTTTTTCTTTTTTATATTTTATTGATTTTTTTACAGAGAGGAAGAGAGGGACAAAGTCAGAAACATCGATGAGAGAGAAACATTGATCAGATGCCTTCTGCACACCCCCTACTAGGGATGTGCCCACAACCAAGTTACATGCCCTTGACCAGAATCGAACCTGGGACCTTTCAGTCCACAGGCCGATGCTCTATCCACTGAGTCAAGCTGATTTCAGCATTAATGGTCAAATTTTCTAGGGCTCATTAGAATTCAAATCACTTGATAAGGTTTTTTCCTTTTGTTTGTGTATTATCCTATATAATAAAGAGTTAATACCATATGCAAATTGACTCTCACTCCAACACAAGATGGCCATTGCCATGTGGTCAAAGATGGCCACCTTCATGTGGACACAAGATGGCCACCATGAGATGGCATCAGGGGAGGGCAGTTAGGGGTGATTGGGTGGGATCGGGCCTAAATGGCCAGTAGGACTCCCTTGAGGGGTTCCAGATTGGAGAGGGTGCAGGCTGGGCTGAGGGATATAACCCCCTACTCCCAGTGCTCAAATTTCATGCACCAGGCTTCTAGTATTTACATATTTATTTCACAGTCCGTAAAATCTATCAATTCGTTTGTTTTTAGTATGTTCAAATGTTTTTGCAACTGTCACTACAATCTAATTTCAGAATATTTATCACTCCCAAAATAAAACCTGTATTCCTTAGCATTTTCTTTCATTCCCATCTCTCCTCAGCCCTAAAAACCACTTCATATTAATATGGTCTTACTTATTCTAGACATTTTATATAAATGGAATCATACACTATGTGGTTGAATCATAAAATATGTGTGTGTTTTTGTGACCAACTTCTTTATGTAGTATAATGTTTTCAAGGTTTATCCATGTTGTAGTATGTATCAGTACTTGATTCTCTTTTCCCCCATTTTATTTGGCAAAACACAGTAACATGAAATTTACTATTTTAACAATTTTTAGGTGTACATTTCAGTGGAATTCAGTACATTTACTGTGCAGCTATCACCACTATTTATTTCCAAAAATTTTTTATCATGTCAAACAGAAACTCAGTCTACATTAAAAAGAACTCTTCATTGCCCCCTCCTCCTAGCCACTGGTGACTCCTGTTTTATTTTCTGTCTCTGTATTTGCTTGTTTTAGGTACTTCTTATAAGTGGAGTTATACAACACTTATCCTTTTGTGTTTGGCTCTTCAACACATAGATCGCAGTTTTTGCCCAGCCTTGTGAAGTTTTTAACCTTTGTATGCCTGGCTTTTCCCACAGCGGATTGGTATATAGAACTTATCTTGGTATATAGAACTTTTTTTCCTTCTACTCTGCTAGCATATTTTAGCTTCCTCAGCCTTTTGAATTCTGATTTCTGTCCTCTCAACTCAATGAGATAATGTTCTTTTCTTAGAATCTTCTCTTTATTGAGATCCAGAAACTGTCTTAATGCAGGAAGCCTGTATTGCTATCTGGAAAATGTCTCTAAGTAGAAATTGAAACAAAGGTCTAGCTTATTTAATTTGTCTTCCTTCTTAGAGATCGTCATTATGCACTGCCTGTGATCTTGCATACTAAACAGGTACCTCAATGTATATTTTACATATGTTTTTCTAGTTTTGTAATTGTTTATAGCAGGAGTATAAGTCTGGTTCCAGTTATCCTATCATTTTATTTCAAAACTTTTTTTTTCACTCAGAATTAGCCTAAAATGCCTCATCTGTGATTGCTAAGGAAGAGAGTCTGTTAATCTTGTTTGAAAAATTTAAAGGAACTTATCAATCTACAATTTTTCAGTTGTGCCATTAATAAAAATTAAACTTCTTTAATATATTCTCCCTATTGCCTATTATAGTTGGGGACGAGGGGGCTGATGTACTACTAATTGAGTGTTACATTTCTCATTTTTTAGGCCTAAAGATTGTCTTCGATCTATTATGAGGAGGGTGAACCACAAAGATCCTCATGTTGCTATGCAAGCTCTGACTGTGAGTGATTTGATTTTAGGTTCTATCACAAAATTTCCTGCTGAAATTGAGCCCTTTTAACTTTGGAATTTATGTTTTTAGCTTCTAGGAGCATGTGTATCAAACTGTGGCAAAATTTTTCACTTAGAAGTATGTTCCAGAGATTTTGCTAGTGAAGTAAGCAACGTATTAAACAAGGTAAGGAACATTATTCCCAGAAATGAATTATGACAGTGATTTTTCTTTATGTATTTTATTGTTCAGTTCCTCACATTTTAAATCAGCAGTTGCCAACCTTTTAGACCTCACGGACCACCGGTTGGCAACCACTGCTCCAAAGCTTTCCTTAAACCAGTGATCCCCAGCCTTTCGGGCCTCAGTACCACCAGGCGTCTGCAGACCACTGGTGGCAACAGTCGTTTTAAATCACAAAGGACTAATCTGTCCTTTTATAAAAAAAACCACACACACAAAAAAAACACAAAACAAAAAACTCTTTCTAGGTTATTTTCTATCCAATATATAAGTAGATATTATGTTTTGCTGAAGAGACTACACATTTATAATTCCGAGAGTTGTTTTTTCCAGCCAAATTAAAGTATATCGAACCTCTTTTTGTTATCATTCCTTTCATCTGATAAGTAAATATGTGTATTTCTCTGATTAAATACCAGTCAATTTTTGGCACAGTTGTTTTATTTATTCTATTTATTTATTTTTATTATTTATTTTTAAATATATTTTATTGATTTTTCACAGAGAGGAGGAGAGAGGGATAGAGAGTTAGAAACATCGATGAGAGAGAATCATCGATTAGCTGCCTCTTGCACACCCTCTACTGGGGATGTGCCCGCAACCATGGTACATGCCCTTGACCGGAATCGAACCCGGGACCCTTCAGTCCGCAGGCCGACGCTCTACCGCTGAGCCAAACGGGTCCTGGCTATTTTATTTATTTTTAAAAAAATATATTTTATTGATTTTGTACAGAGAGGAAGGGAGAGAGATACAGAGTTAGAAACATAGATTAAAGAGAGTCATCGATCAGCTGCCTCTTGCACACCTCCTACTGGAGATATGACCGCAACCAAGGTACATGCCCTTGACCAGAATCGAACCCGGGACCCTTCAGTCCCCAAGCCGATGCTCTATCCATTGAGCCAAACCGGTTTCAGCGGCACAGTTGTTTTAAACCACAGAATAATTTTGTAGCCACAGAATTATTTCCTCAATGTAGAATTGTTCAGAAGTATTTCTAAAATATAGCACTGTTGAGTTTCATCTTTATATAAAAAAGGCCACTACTTGGCTATCATAGGATTTTAATACTATATATTAATGAGTATAGAATAAAGAATTCAAATCCTGAAATTTAAGGACTTTAAAAAATATAAGTTACTAAGTAATATGTGAGTTTTTCCAGTAAAAATTTGTGTATTCTGAAGGTAATTATTTCTGGCTTATTTGGGGGAGTAGGGTGAGGTGGGGGATGCATTATACATCAAGAAATATTTTTTTTTAAGTATTAAAAGGGAAAATGCCTATTAAAAATACATTTTTGTATTGATTTTACAGAGAGGAAGGGAGATGGATAGAAACATCGATGAGAGAGAAATATTGATTGTCTGCTTACTGCATGCCCCCCAACTGGGGATCACACCCACAATCTGGGCATATGCCTTAACCATGTATCCTGACTGGAAACTAACCATGACCTCTTGGTTCATGGGCTCATGCTCAACCACTGAGACATGCTGGCCAGGCAAAAATACCTTTTTTTTTTTTTTTTTAAATAAGTATTTTTATTTTTTTGGAGAAAACAGTACAGAAATGAGATAAGAAATGTAAAATTCTGAACTTTTCACACATGATTATATAAAAATATTTCGCCTGTTCTGCGTTAGTAAGTTGTATTTAGATATTTTCTACTAATTAATAAACATTCTTTTTTTTTCTTTTTTAATTCTCACCTGAGGATATGTTTTTATTGATTTTTAGAGAGGAGTGGGGGTGGGGAGAGAAAGAGAAAGAAACTTCAATGTGAGAGAAAAACATAAATCAGTTGTATGGTGCATTTGAGCCCTGACGGGATCAAACCAGCAACCTAGGTATGTGTCCTGACCAAGAATCAAACCCACAAACTTTTTTTTTTTTAAAATATATTTTATTGATTTTGTACAGAGAGGAAGGGAAAGAGATAGTTAGAAACATTGATGAGAGAGTGTCATCGATCAGCTGCCTCTTGAACACCCCCTACTGGGGATGTGCCCGCAACCAAGGTACATACCCTTGACCAGAATCGAACCCAGGACCCTTCAGTCCCCAAGCCGACACTCTTATCCATTGAGCCAAACCAGTCCCGGCCAAACCCACAAACTTTTGATGTATGGGACCACACTCTAACTGAACCTTCCGGCCAGGGCAGGAACCATTCTTATAATGTCCAGAATATCCATCAAAATGTATCACTGTTTATAAAGAGACTATAATGTTTTCATTAATTCAGTTGAAGATGTACTCAAAGTTGTACTTAGTAGAATGAACAAATATTTTGAAAAACAAACAGCAACATATAAGAGGAAGGACTTCTCTTTATTTTTCAAGTGTTTTATTTATTTTTAAATAAGATAACATTTACTTGAAAATCACAGAGAGAAAAAGTAATTTGTAGAAGAAATGGGCTTAAGAAACACACTGAACTTCCATGCAAAATAGAGAGACTCAAGAGGAAGAGCAAGCAGACAGCTTCAGTGGGGTGAGGTTTAAAGGGGGATTGGTGCAGGATGGAGGGATTGAGCAAAAAAGAGAGGGAAGTCATGGGCGTGGGCAGCACTGTGGTGATGGGTGCAGGGTGGAAGTGGAAGAGGGCATAGGGCACAAGGGGATAAATGGGGATAGAAAAAATAAAATCCTATACAATAAAGATGTAATATGCAAATGGTCATTACACTGTGAAGCATAACAACTGACCATATAAGGACTGAATCATGGATCAGCAGTGAGGCAGCGAGCTACAAGTGGGCAGAGGAGAGCTACAGGAAGAAGCAGGGCAGCAAGCTATAAGGGAGATGGGAGCTACAAGAGGGTGGTGCAATGGGCGGAGAGCTACTGGAGGGCGGTAGTGAGCTACTTACTGGTGCACGTATTTGTACACAGAGGTACTAATAAATAAATAACAAATAAATTATAGAGACAAAGAAAGTGCCCTTGGAGCTTAGAAGTGAGGAAGGTAAAGGTAAGGCACCGGAAGGGAAAGGAGAAAGCGTAGGTATGCTCCTGGGAGAGCCCCAAATGTTTTTAAATGAATGTATTCATTTTATACTTTAGGTCAGTGGTTTTCAATCTTCCTAATGCCGCAACTCTTTAATATAGTTCCTCATGTTGTGGTGACCCCCAAACATAAAATTATTTTTGTTGCTACTTCATAACTAATTTTGCTACTGTTATGAATCGTAATGTAAATATCTGAAATGCAGGATGTCTTAGTCGACACCTGTGAAAGTGTCATTTGACCCCCAAAGAGGTCATGACCCACAGGTTGAGAAATGCTGCTTTAGGTGAAGTATTATTTTGAAGAAATAAAGTTTCAAGGGATAATGACATGCAGTAGACCTCAAATCTGACCTTAAATATTTAAGCAGCTTGGAAAAAAACATATAAAATGCACATTAAAAGTCAGAAATTAGGAATAAAGGAAGTGCACCATTTAATTGTTCCTAAATTATTTTTATATTGATCTACAAAAAACAAAACAAATTATCTTCCTGCTGTACAAAGTTTTATTAGTTGTAAAATACTCTGAGAAGTTCTGTCTTCCTGACCTCTAAAATGAGGTATTATTGTATTTAGTCTATGTGAATTTGATATGAGATATTTATGAAGGTATCTTGTTTTTTCATAGTGTGAAAATACAATGAGTTTATCTTTTTAATCTATTTTTATTGATTTCAGAGAGGAAGTGAGAGGTAGAGAGATATAGAAACATCAATGATGAGAGGGAATTTTTGATCGACTGCTTCCTGCATGCCCCACACTGGGAATGGAGCTCCCAACCCAGGCATGTTCCCTGACTGGGAATTGAACCAGGACCTCCTGGTTCATAGTCAATGTTCAACCATTGTCAGCTGGGCAAAATTAGTTTATCTGTAATAATAAAAGGGTAATATGCAAATCTACCAAACAGCCGAACAGCAGAACAACCATCCGTATGACCACACTGTGACACCCTCTGATGCCAGGCCAGCCGAGGCGGGTGTGATGCTATTGGTCGGGGGCCTGGCCATCGCCCCAGGATCCTCCCACAGAAGGAGGCCCAGACTACCTGCAGGTGGGGTGGTCAATCGGAGGGCTCCGCAATTGCCCCAAAGAGGGAGGCCCAGGCCACTGACAGGTAGGCTGTGGCGGGTGGGCGTGGCCTCCCTCTGTGGGGGAGATTAATCACCCCAAAGAGGGAGGCCTAGACCATCCACCCGCTGGCAAGGCTATCAATCGGGGCTCCGCAATTGCCCCCAAGAGGGAGGCCCAGGGGTTGTGTGGTGGTGGATGTGGGCAGCACCAGGCCAAGCAGGTGTAGGTAGGGGGCGAGGCCACAAGCAGGCAGGGCCTTCAGGCAGCTATGGCTGCAAAGGCCTACCCTTGCACGAATTTCATGCATTGATTGGGCCTCTAGTTTTATTTATTTATTTATTTATTTATTTATTTTATTATTATTTTTTTTTACAGAGAGGAAGAGAGAGAGAGAGAGAGAGAGAGAGTTAGAAACATTGATGAGAGAGAATCATCGATCAACTGCCTCTTGCACACCTCCTACTGAGGATGTGCCCTCAACCAAGGTACATGCCCTTGACCGGAATTGAACCCGGGACCCTTCAGTCCGCAGGCTGACGCTCTATCCACTGAGCCAAACCGGTTTCGGCAGACCTCTAGTTTTAATAACCAACTATAGTTTCTTATGTATTGTCTGTAGCTAGGGGTAATTTGTTCTCTCTCTCTCTCTCTCTCTCTCTCTCTCTCTCTCTCTCGGTTTCTTTTTGCTAGGGGTAATTTATGATTTAAAAAGAGAATTACAACACTTCAGAATTTTTATATTTAAGATATTTATATTAAATAATTGCCCAAAAATTAGTGTACTTTTTAGTAATTTTTTTGATTTGAAAAACTTTAATGAAAACACTAACCATACAAAAATTAAATAGCAAAACCATTCAAAATGACTTATAATTCAAACAGATTTGGCTTACTGATAATTCTCTATCAACTGATTATTTCCAGATACATTTCTCTCTCAACTATTTCCAGGTAAAATCTTATTAATTATTTTCTTTATTTTTAGGGTCATCCAAAAGTGTGTGAAAAATTAAAGGCCCTTATGGTTGAATGGACAGATGAATTTAAGAATGATCCACAGCTCAGTCTAATATCAGCAATGATTAAGAACCTAAAAGAACAAGGAGTTACATTCCCAGCTATTGGCTCTCAGGTATTTTGTCAAGTTGTGTGTGTGCTACAGTGTTTTTTAAAGTAGCCATATTTATTTGAACTTTTCACTCCACTAAACCCAGGTAGCGGGATTTTTTGTTAATAATAATCTTGCATTTTGAGATGCCATAAAAAATAGTGTGGAATATTAATGTGTTCCAACTTCTACTTTCCCACTGTTTCTCCTTAATATATATTACTGATTTTTTACAGAGAAGAAAGGAGAGGGTTAGAAAGAAACATCGATGAGAGGGAATCATCGATTAGCTGCCTCTTGCACACCTCCTACTGGGGATATACCCCGCAACCAAGGTACATGTCCTTGACCGGAATTGAACCTGGGACCCCTCAGTCCGCAGGCTGACGCTCGATCCACTGAACCAAACCGGTTTTGGCTGTTTTCTCCTTTTTTATAAATGAATTTGCTGTAACATTTGCAAGTAAAATTTTTAAAAATTTAGTTTTAATGTAGACAAAATTACTTCATTACATCAAGTAAGTCTTGTTAGATGCTCTTAATGCTATCATCAAAAATAGGGATATCCTTAAAATTAAAAATGATTTTAGAGGTTCTTTTGATTATGAAATTTATGAATACCTCTATAAGAAGTGGGAAGGAGATTCAAAGGGGTCAATGGGAAGAGAAGCATATGAAGCATTTCTTCCCTTAATAAAACCTGACAGTGGCTTCATCTTTTTCCTTTCTCCTAATAAATATGACTGACTGAAAGGCTTAACTTTCCTTTTCAAAAAGTTATGTTATGAGACAGATGTCTAATTAATGTCATGTAAAAATGAAAGGGGCCCAGCTGGGTGGTTCAGTTGGTTGGAGTGTTGTCTGGTACACCAAAAAGGTTGTGGGCTTGATTCCCAGTCAGGGCACATACCTAGGTTGTGGGTGCAGTCCCCATAGGAGGCAACCAATATCTGTCTGTCTGTCTGTCTGTCTGTCTGTCTCTCTCTCTGCCTCAAATCAATAAACTTATTCTCAAGTGAGGAGTAAGAAAGAAAGAGTGTCTCTTCTATTCTTTTTCTATTCTGGATAACCATCCGTTAGCATGCCAAAGTAATCAAAAGGGTTTAAAATGTATGGATTGGTAAACTGAAATTAGTGGTATAAAAGCATGAGCAGAAAATTTCAGCTGTCAAGGATTCAAGTTTGGGGTTTTGACCACTTCAGGGAATCATGAACTGATTCATCCACTTATCTAGACTTTCTCCAAGGCATTTCTAGTTTATCTGTGTACTCTTGAGCTGTAAAAAAAGCCTCACAGAAATATAATTAGGAGAGTAAGGAAGGGAGGATATTTTACTTAAAAAAATTTGCCTTTTGAATAGTTTTATAATAATAAATTATATCTTTTAGAATTATTCATTACTGATAGCTGGCTTTTACTACTTTCAGAATAATTTCTAAAATTATAATTACAGAATAATTTTTATGCAGAATAATCCAAGAGTCTTATACATTTCTTGACAATAGAAGCAATGTTTAATTATCAAAGTCTAGATGCTTAATGGAATTCCAATTTCTATGCATCAAGAACCTATTCTAGAGCTTGTTACTCAAAATTTGGTTCATTGACCATCATCATCATCATCATCAGGTTGTTAGAAATGCAGTATGTATGGATTCATTATCTTCATTTTATCGGGGTCCTGGATGATTCTGATTACACATTGAAGTTTGAGAAGCACTGCTCTCAAATACAGCTTTCAGTGCAAGTGAAAATTGCATATCTGTCCACAAAGGGACTTGTTTCTATAAGACAGTGGTTCTTAACCTTTCTAATGCTGTGACCCTTTAATACAGTTCCTCATGTTTGATGACCCCCAACCTACTTCATGACTGTAATTTTGCTACTATTAATGAACTGTAATGTAAATATCTGTGTTTTCCGATGGTCTAGACTCTACAGCGGTGGCTCTCAACCTGCTAGCAGGGTCGCCTAAGACCATTGGAAAATAGATATTTACATTACGATTCATAACAATAGCAAAATTAGTTATGAAGTAGGTAAGAAAATAATTTTATAGTTGGGGGTCACCACAACATGAACTGTATTAAAGGGTCGTGGCATTAGAAAGGTTGAGAACCACTGGTATAAGAGAAAGAAGAATTAATGATCTGCATGATATATAGCATTTTTTGGTTAACCTAGATATTGTGGGAATATCTTTAGGGATTCTCTTATCCCCTCGTTTTACAAATGAGGAAATCGAGACCCAGAATGGTTAAGTGACTTGCCCAGGGCCACTTGGACAAGAGGAGTTGACAGAGCTGGAAGTAGAACACAGGCTTCCTGACTTTCAGTCCAGTGTTCTCTCTACTACACCAGTGGTCGGCAAACTCATTAGAGTCAACAGAGTCAAATATCAACAGTACAACGATTGAAATTTCTTTTGAGAGCCAAATTTTTAAAACTAAAACTTCTTCTAACGCCACTTCTTCAAAATAGACTCGTCCAGGCCATGGTATTTTGTGGAAGAGCCATACTTAAGGGGCCAAAGAGCTGCATGTGGCTCTCGAGCTGCAGTTTGCCGACCACTGTACTACACCATTCTGCCTTCCGTTGTTACAGAAGTTAGTGTCCCAGACTAGGCTTCAAAGGACAAGAAGTGGAGTGAACACAGCAGGAGGATTGTTTGATTGGCATAGAAGTTAGGTTACTCTTCTGCTCAAAAGATTCAGGGCATAGAACGGCAACATTAAAGTTAAGAGTTACTTTTCTTCTTTTCATCTAGATGTTACACAATACATGAAACCTAATTTTATTATAGTTGTTATCATTTAGCCACAAGAAATATATAAAATGCATATCAAGTACGATAAGATGAAATACAGTGGTGATTTTTTATAGTATTTTCTGAAAAGGGTATTGAAAACCCTGTTTGTAAAGAACTTTATGTTTAATGAAAAAAATTTTAAAGGGAACATCTATTAAAAAAAATAGACACATTAAAGGGAAGATCTATAATACTTTCAACCATAAAGATAAATTTTTTAAAAAGTGTCATCTAGGATCAACTGTAGAAGTACATCTACATTTTGAAATCACTTAGTTGTATGTCATTACATTTAGTCAGACTAGATTTTTGTTAGCATTCTTAACAAAAGCCTATGAAAATATAAGGATTTTAAAGTTTATTTTTTACCCAAGTTCAGGAGAAAATAATAAAAATGATAAGAAAAGTTAGACTTTAGTCACCCAACTTATTTTTATGCTGTTGTAATTTTTTTTTTTAAGTACTAACTTTTGATGTAGAGATGAAAGTAATGGTAAACTGCTACTGCATTTGGCTAGTTAATAAAGACAAGTGTCATTGCTACACTTAGAACCTGATGATAGAAAGGAACTTTGAAAAGTATGCAGTTCAGGAGTACAGGCTTAATGCAGCTTGTTCTGCACTTTCTAATGGACCAATCGAGATTTCTTCATAGACCACAAAAAATCAACATATTTGTTTTGTGAAATTGACCAGATTGTGAAAAATTTTTATATATTATGAAAAAGATTGCCTCTGACTTTCAATTTTCAGTTGTATAATGATTAAAACACTGCAACAAGAGATGGATCAGAATTGAAAGTACTTAAAGTTCTATGCAGTGAACTATAAAAAGAGTTTTTGTAATCAGCTTTTCTAAAAATAAATGCCTTGTGTATTTGTTTGACATTATAAAATATACTAAGTAAAGAATATATAACTGTGTTACTATAATATTTTGCCTTTCACCTGCTCAACAGTCATTTAAAAATTAGAATTTCATTTTTTATTGATTTATCTGGGAATTACAGTAATCATTTGTAAATTTTAAAAATCTGCTTTGAGTTACTACTGTATTTCATGTAAAATGTAGAAACCTTGCAACAGTATAGGGTTTATCTACTCCACACTTAAGCATCCTTTATGCTGAAATCATCTTAAATATGACATATATTCTCTTACATACATTATAAATTCCAGGAGGCAAATGTTATACTTTTTGTTTAAACTTTGAGGGCCCCCATTTTATCTGATTTTAGAAGCTACATGTGTTAATTTAATCCTCTTAATATCCTGTAGTGTATAGGTGATATTATTATTCTCATTTTGTAGATAAGGGACTTGAGGCACAAAGAGCATGGATTTAGCATTTGATCCTGTGTTTGCCTGACTACCTATTCTTAACTACCCATGTCATAGCACCTTGTTTGAAAGTGTTATCAGAGGAACATGGAGGAGAGAATGCTTTATTAAGGATGTTTATTAAGTGCTTAGGGATGTTTCACTGAGAAAGTGATATTTTTGCTGTTTACCCACTGATGAGTTGAACTCAATGGAAAAATGTGGATGGAGTAAACAGAGCCAGAGGGGAGGACATAAGTAAAGCAAATGTGTGTCATAGATGTAGAAATACCAGTATGTGTATCTATAATAATAAAAGGGTAATATGCTAATTAGACTGGACATCCTTCTGGACGAAGTGGGGTTAGAGGGAAGCCAGCCCGGGTCCTGGGTGCCTGCAGGAAGCTGGTTCTGGCAGGGGAGGAAGAGGGGGACAGGAAGGCCTATTCTTGCACAAATTTTGTGCATCAGGCCTCTAGTATAAGTATACGTATACATATGCCTGTACATATTATCTATACTAATAATAGTCTAGGGCCGTCATAACATAAACAACCAGATGGACAACAGGTCACCAGGAAGTGCATGGAGCCATGGCCCACAGGCTCCTATTCCTGTGTTGTTCTAGAGGCCTAATGACCTCACCACTGCTGCTGCAGCTGTGAATCAGGCTCAGAGGCCTGGAGAGAGAGGCAGGGCCTGATCAGCAGCTGCCATGGAGGCTATGAATCAGGCCCAGAATAAGCCTGGAGAGAGAGAAGCAGGGCCTGATCAGCAGTTGCTACAGCTGCTGGCAAGGCCTGGAACCAAATCGGGATGAACTTCAAGGAGCTAATGGCTGCCTAGGAGGTGGAGCTTTTGACACTGACTGACATAGAAACCGACAATCAGAACCAAATCGGGGTGAACTGCGAAGGCAGAACCTAAGGTGGGGGCTGAGGAGGGGTTTTAAGGGCAACAACTGTTTGGTGTAAAGCAGTGGCTGGCAAACCGTAGCTCGAGAGGCACACGCGGCTCTTTAGCCCCTTGAGTGTGGCTCTTCCACAAAATACCATGGCCTGGGCGAGTCTGTTTTGAAGAAGAGGCGTTAGAAGAAGTTTTAGTTTAAAAAATTTGGTTCTCAAAAGAAATTTCAATCCTTGTACTGTTGATATTTGGTTCTCTTGACTAATGAGTTTGCTGATCACTGTTTTAGACTGACAAGAAGGATCTTGTACATTTGTGGATTAGGTGGGGTAGGAGTATTTGAGATCAGTCCTCAAATATTGTGTTCCTTTTTGTGTGTGCTAGGCTGCAGAACAAGCAAAAGCAAGCCCAGCTCTGGTAGCTAAGGATCCTGGTACTGCAACTAATAAAAAAGAAGAAGAAGATTTAGCCAAAGGTATGTTTTTAAGTCCCAGTTGGCAAAAATATGGGTTTCTTACTTAATATTATTTTCCTGAAATATTTTAAAATAAAAGAAATAGAACTTTCCAGCTAAATCTGAAATCTACTTTGTTTCCCTTAATATCACTTCTTTCTCTTCTCTCCCAAGGCAACTGTCATGTATGTCTTATTGATGAGTATTTTTACTACACAGTTTACCCATAAATATTCATAAACAGTACCAAATACTTTTTGTGTCCAATAAAATTTTTACATAAATATTGTAGGTATCATCTATCTACAACTGTATTTTTTATGCAGCAGTTGAAATCTATTCATGATTAGACATATGAATCAAATTTACTTTTTGTAACTGCTGAATAATATTCAAGTGTACTAATAAATACATACTATAATATATCCTCCTACTGATGAACATTTGGGTTTTCTGGTTTTTATTTTTACTGTAATAAATATGCTTTATTGGATATACCTGTATGTGTTCTTGTGTATGTGTGTGTTTTATTTTGTGTGACTAAAAGTGAAGTATTGTTGGCTCATGGGGCAGGCATTTCTTTAATTTTGCTAAATAGTTTCTCTTTCATCATCAGTATATGAAAGCTCTTATTATTTTTAACTTCCTGGCAGCATTTGGTATTGTCAGTGCTTAAGTTTCACAAATCTGATAGATTCCAAATGATGTCCCATTATTTCAAATTTCTTTTACTACTAGTGAGGTTGAGTCCTTTTTCACATGCTTATTTGCATCCTGTCTCTTTTTTTTTTTTTATTGTGTCTCTTTTTAAAAAATATGATATGTAGAAAGTCTTTATTTTGCATGCTAATCTTTTGCCTATTTTACTTATAGTAGATATCTATTTTTGATTTTTGGCTTATATTTAACTTCGATAATAGTGTGTCTTATTACACAAATTTTAGTCAAAATTTTTGCTTTTCTATTATTATTATTATTATTTTTTTATGTCTCTAATTCTTTTCCTACTCTAACATCCTAAAAGACATATTCCTATATTTTCTTATGATAGTTTTAAAGTTTTATTTTCTCATTAGGTCTTTCATGGATCTAGAACAGAAGTGGAAAGGAATAGGGGTTTGGGTTGATTTGAAAGCAAGGTAATCACTCCCATAGTGATGGCCTATATGGGGAGAGGAAGAAGGAGATAGAGGAGACACAGCTGAAATCTATTTTGAGGAATTTGTTAGGTGAGACTTTATTGTAGTTATTTCTAAATTCCAATTCTTAGACTGATTATAAAAGAATTATTTTTGGAGCAATAAAATTCAGGTTCTCAGCAATTAGTAAGTCCCCAAGGGATTTAAGACTATTCTCCAAGTGATTTTATCATTTCGGGAACTTAGGCTGTAGGAAAAAATGGAAAAAACCAAAAGAAAACATATCTGCAACTAAAATTTTAAGCAGATCTAAGTTTATGTCTTTTTTTAATTACCCATAATTATTTTAATTGTATTGTTCAGTAAAAAATAGTCATCATGCTGTTCAATTTTTTTGTTTATGTTTTTTTTTGAACTTTCAGTTGTGAATGAATGAATAAAACTGATGAAATGATTTTTATTGTCCTAATTTCCAGCTACCCTACTGAGAGAAGAATACTTTTTACCTTCAGATATATTTTTGTAATTCTTTGGAGTATTGGACATGTTAACATTTTGGGTCTTTTTAAACCCATTATTTTCTAGCCATTGAGCTGTCCCTGAAGGAACAAAAGCAGCAGTCCACCACCCTTTCCACTCTGTATCCGAGTACATCCAGCCTCTTAGCTAACCACCAACACGAAGGCAGAAAAGTCCGTGCTATATATGACTTTGAAGCTGCTGAAGATAATGAACTTACTTTTAAAGCTGGAGAAATTATTACTGTTCTTGATGACAGGTGATGGAACTTTCATGTGAAAATACATAACATTACTTCCGTGTTTCATATTACTGCTATTGGATGCTATCAACAAATGCAATTAAAAAAATACTGATCCAGCTATTTTCTTTGTCTGATGGTTGCTTTGCTTATGTTATACTGGCTGGATTCTTATTTTATAGTTTAATTTTTTTCTTGTCTATTTACTTTTAATTTCTTTTTAATCTTTTCATTTTTGGATCCATCTAATAATATAGATTGTTAAATTAGTAAAAAAAAAATTAAAATTTTAGAAAAAATACCAAATATGTTTGTATATATGTACTTGTGAAATTTGTAAGAAATACAGAATATAGTGAGTTTATTATTTAGTGTATTTGTTTGGAACAAATTAATTTAACATGGAATTATATGCATTTATATTATCATAGGAGAGGTGATTCAGTGCATTTTTCTCTTACTACAGCTTTATATTTATGTTTATGAAAATTGTTACTGATAATGAAGTACTAAACTTGGCAAATTAGTGGTTTTAAAAATAAATGTGAATAGGTTTAAGGTTCTTTCTATAATCTTTATATATAAAAGCATAATATGCAAATCAATCAGACAGCGGAACAACTGGTTGGCTATGATGTGCACTGACCACCAGGGGATACATGCTCAATGCAGGAGTTGCACCCAGCCAGCAGGTCCTTATCACCTGATCAGGGCCTCCTGGTCAACCTCTTGTCCTCTCCCCCTGGCTGGCGGGCTCCAATCACCTGATGGAGAACAGGGAAATGGGTGGTCGGTGGCAGCGGACGTGGGTGGCAACAGGGGCCTGATTGCCCCTACACACACAGGGCAGTGGTGGGAAGTGGGGCCAGTTGTTGGCAGCCGGGGAAGATCGGCCCTGATCGCAGGCCAGACCTAGGTACTCTACCGATGCATAAATTTCGTGGGCTGGACCTCTAGTACATACTATATTACTAGAAGCCCGGAGCACAAAATTCTTGCCTTTGCGGATGGGACAGATCCCTCAGCCTGGCCTGTGCCCTCCTGCAGTCTAGGAACCCTTGGGAGATGTCCAACTGCTGGCTTAGGCCGGATCCCGTGGAGAGCTGTCATTGGGACGGACATCCTTAGCTCTGCTGCGGGGGTGAGAGAGGCTCCCACCACTGCTGCTGCACTTGCCAGCTGTGAGCCTGGCTTCTGGCTGAGCTGCGTTCCCCCTGTGGGAGCATACTGACCACCATGGGGCAGCTTCTGCATTGTCTGCTTCCTGGTGGTCAGTGTGTGTGATAGCGATGGCTCATTTCACCATTTGATTTCCACATTAGCCTTTTATGCCTGCAGGATTGTGCTGAAACCAGTTCTCCAGTATCTCCTGAGCAGTCCCAGATTGTGAGATGGCACAGGCCAGGCTGAGGTATCCCACTGGTGCTCCATCAGGGCTGGGAAGGGATGTGGGGATTTGGCCAGTTGGAGAGGGACCACAGGAGGGCTCCAGGGCATGTCTGGCCTTTCTCACTTAATCCCAATCCACCAGACCCCAACAGCAAGCTAACCTATTGGTTGAAGCATCTGCCCCCTGGTGGTCAGTGCACCTCATGGTTACTGGTCAACCAGTCAACTGTCTGCCCCCTGGTGGTTATTGCATGTCATAGTGAGTGGTTGAGCAGCCTTAGCATATCATTAGCATAATGCCCTTTGATTGGTTGAGTGGCCAACTGGAAGACCAGACACTTAGCATATTAGTCTTTTATTATATGGAATGATTTCTCAATTGGAAAATAATGAAATTATGTTTGAGTTGTTTTAGAAATTGCACAAAACTTTGATCATTCATTCAGAAATATTTATTGAGAGCTTGCTAGCTTTTCTTAGACTAGATACAGATATAGTGAAGATACAGAATGCACCTTAAAATGTGTTCCTTGTGAACGTTTTGTGCTACAAATAGTGTCTCTGTCATATGTGTTTTCTTGTGGGGAAAAATTTGCTGATATGTACCAGATAGAGCACAAGAATGGACATCTTGATTAAGGTACTGCTATATATCATACTAGAGGCACTCGGGGAAGGCCCCTCAGCCCTGCCTGCACCCTTTAGCAGTTTGGGAGCCATCAGTGAGACACCTGCCGCTTGTGGCTGAGTTGCACTCCCCCTGTAGGAGCGCACTGACCACCAGGGGGCAGCTTCTGCATTGAGCATCTTCCCCCTGTTGGTCAATGCCCGTCATAGCGACTGGTCATGCCACTATTTGGTCGATTTGCATATTACACTTTCATTTTACACAAATTTCATTTGCATGAAATTTGTGAAAGAGAAGGCCTTTCTTCCCCTGGCTGCTGGCAGGCACCCAGGACCTGGGCTTCCCTCACAGCACTGGCTTCATCCAGAAGGATGTCTAGTCTAATTAGCATATTACGCTTTTATTATAGAAGATTATAAAGGATTCTTAGATTGGAGCCTTCAAACCACTTGAACTTGACAATTCTTAAATATGTGGACCTCTTTTATAAGGGAAGTGTTAGTGCCTTATAGTAAATATTTTAAGTATTCACCAGCCTTCCAAAAGATAACGTACTATGTGTTTAATAACTTATTTTTTTTGAGGTCTTATCTCTTATTTATAATAATGAAATGTTCATTTCATTCTTCACTGGATTGATGTGGGTTTCAAATCTGATATTAATGTAAGTTAAACACTATAAAAGGGAAAGATTTAAAGAAATAAAAATCTTTATTATAGTTAAATATTATTTTTGTTCCTCATAGTGATCCCAACTGGTGGAAAGGTGAAACTCATCAAGGCATGGGGTTATTTCCCTCTAATTTTGTAACTGCAGATCTCTCTGCTGAACCAGAAATGAGTAAGTATTTTACAGTCTGTCAGTGGATGATAATCATTAATCCTCTTAATGAAGGCTGAGTAAATTCAACTTTTTGGAGCAGGTACTTTCTAATAATTAGTGTTTTCAAGGTGTTTATTAAAAATGCAGCTCCCTGGTCAGTAGATTATTTACCATAAATCATTTAAGAATTGAAATAATTTGTCTACCAAGATTATCTTTAGAGAAAGTATTGATTTTTTAAAAATTTATATCTACTTATACATATAAATATGTGTGTGTGTGTGTGTGTGTATTCACACACATATATGTATATATGTGCTAGTATAAAAATGCACACTAAAAAGTGTTAATGGAATTTATGCAACATATGTTTTCATTATCAGTTGATAAAAGTGTGACAAATGCAGTGTAACCTCAAACAATTCTTCCTTTTCAAAGGTTGAGACCATTTCTCTAATGTTCTAACCTCAAATTTGGAAGCTGTGGCCTCTAAGCAACAGTAATGGCTTTTCTAAACCTTCCTGTAGATATTCAGAAGTGGCCATAGCTAATCATATAAATAGTTTTTTTTGTTTTTGTTTTTTTTCCCCCAAATCTTTGCTAACTAGGAGAAATACACTAGAAAGTGGGGCCAAAGAGGTAGTGCTATTACTGACAGCCATAATAGTTGTAGGAGATGTAACTGACGGTAGCTTATATTGATAGACAGTTGACTACATTTTTTCATAACACTGTACTTTAATGAATCTTCATAATGAGTTTGAATAATCAAGATTGTCATGACCTCCCTTTGTTTAAGGAAACAGTAATATGTTCTAGTCTAAAAGGATTTCTATTAGTGATTGGCATTTTTAGAATTTTAAAAGAATTTTTGTATATAAGTTAAGTTGTAAGCCACAGTTATCTGGAAGAATATTTCATCTCAGCTCATCTGTCTATAACAGCTAGAAGGAATTAATGTTATAAACTGCAAGATGCTTAATTCTTTTTTAGTTTACAAGAATTCTAAGAATGGATTTTTGTCATAGTCATCTTTTTATTTTCCTTAGCACCAACTACTAAATACAGACTAGACATATATATTATAAATATTAATGCAATAAGCAATACACAAGTGTATATATAGAGATATTACTTTTCTTTAAAAACATAAGTACACTTATGTTTTCAAGAGAAGGGTTTCACAACAAACCAGACATTACAAATCTTGAGAAAATAATGCCCTCTCATAGTTATGCCAGATTTTTTTTTTTGTCATTTTAATAAACAGATTCCTGATACCTATTTCTTTAATTGAATTCTTTTTTTGTTAGAACAACAACAACAAAAAATGTTGTAGAACCTTGTTTGAATGGCAGTGCATACTGTGCTCACTTTTAACCTGGGCTGAGGGTGGAGTTTTTTTGTTTGTTACTGTGCGATTGGATTGTCCTGAATCAATTGTTGGAATGGGTAGAAAAGCCTCGGAACTTCTGTTCATGATGAGATCCAAGAGCTCATGTAGATCATATAGCCATCTCATCTATTTCCCCATTATATAGCATTGCACTTTAAAATTAGTATTCCAACTCATATATTTCACTCTGGACCAACTAAAAGAGAAACAGGAACAGCAGAGCTTATGTAATGTAGTCCTCGAGTTTGGAAGATGAGGGCTAGTGTGATCCTCATAGTCTCCTTCTTCATGAGGAAGCAGAAACCCACTTAATGTGTCAAATAGAAATACCTGGCCTCCCTAGCTTGTTAGATATTGGTAGACACAGTTAGATATTGTGAAAGCACTTTATTTTTTTACATATATAAGCATTTTATATATATATTCACACACACACACACACACACACACACACACTATACATAATACACGTGTGTACATACCCTGTTTCCCCGAAAATAAGACAGTGTCTTATATTAATTTTTGCTCCCAAAGATGCACTAGGTCTTACTTTCAGGGGATGTCTTATTTTTCCATGAAGAAGAATACGGTACACATTTATTGTTAAATGAAAATAAAGGAAATTTATTACCTGTATACGGTACGGTAGTACAGTAGTTGTCAACACAAATCAGACAAACTGTGAATCCTACAGTATCAAGAATTTACTCATTTATTCAGTGACAATCATGTCATCATCTTCTGGAACATCATCATAACAATCCAATTCCTGAATTTCCTGGTGAATTTCTTGTGACTCCATTTCCTTCAGAATCAATGGACCAAATCTCTCATGTTTAGCCTAGGGGGGGAGGGGCTTATTTTTGGGGGGATGCCTTATATTTCACTCAGAAGGAAACCTGCAAGTAGGTCTTATTTTCGGGGAAACACAGTAGTAATAGTATTGGTTCCTATGAGAAAAAGCACTGTAAATTTGTGCACAGTCAGCTGGCGGGATGTGAAGTCTACCATGTGTCTCTTATGGATAGCGGATAGTATAGTACTCTCCCAGTATTCTACTTGTTAATAGCTCAAGATGTAAAAAGCAAAATATGTATAGCATATGTCTCTTTTTTTCCTCCATGGAAAATGACATCACCTGAAACTGTGTGTGTGTGTGTGTGTGTGTGTGTGTATAGAATTTTGCTTTATGGTGACTTGAATGGGATGAATTGAACTATTTGCATTCTATATGGAATCACATAACAAGGAATATGTAAGTGATGTTCTCAGAGTAAAATCATAGGCCAGATTCCAGTTGTATGGGCTGGTAGAACCAGATAGATTGGCATTCAAATCCAGGCTTTGCCATTTATTAACTTTCACCTATGCAAGAATTTATAATCTTTCTAAGCCCCTGTTAACCTTATTTGTGAAATAGGCCTATCTCATAGGATTGTATTGTAGATTCTTTGGAGGAAATATAATATGTACTCCCTTAAGCACATTTAATAGTTTAATAGATATTATTTCCCTTACTTAATAATACCCTTTGCCCACTTCCCTTTCCTCTTGATTCTTAATATTTTTATGAATATTGATTGACCATATGGATACAAGGATGAAAAATTCAGAGAGGAAATTCAATTCTTTTTTCTTTTTATTAAGTTCAGATAGGAAAAAAGAGGGAGAGAGAGATAGAAACATCAATGGTGAGAGAGAATCATTGGCTGCCTCCTGCACGCTCCTACTGGGAATCGTGCTGCAACCCAGGCATGCTCCCTGACCAGGAATCTCGAACCATAACCTCCTGGCTTATAGATCAATGCTCAGCCACTGTGCCATGTCAGCCGGGTTGAAATTCATTTCTTTTAAGCTGTATGTACCTTAATATTCTTTTGGAGAAGGTTAATTGTATGTTAATTAGAACTTTATATGGTATGTACTAGTTAATGTTATATTGATTAGATTTTTAAAGTTTTCTTTATTGAGCAAGAGAAATATGCGTTTCTGGCCAATGGTTTGTGGATCCCTTAATAATCATTTTTAAATGCAAAGAACAGGGTAACTAAAATATATAGGCTGATGTAGTGAAAAATTCAGATCCTTGCCAAGGCTATTTTGTAAAATTCCCATTGGCTTGGATGTCGTTCTCTTAGTCTAAAGTCTGAGTGGCTTGCTGGAGACCATACAGCTAACTTTCCAATTCATTGCATTGAAAAGTATGGTCTATTAAATGAGATTTTTCTAAATTGCAGAGTACATTTATGCCATTGTAAAATTTTGCTTTTTTTCACTGGTTTACTAAATTCTCTTGTGTAGTAGGTGATTAATCTTCGTTTCAGAAATATACTTCTTATTTTTAGTAATGTGTCTTTTATGGAAAATGTAAAATCTTTAGAAGAGAAAATTAAGAAATCTTGACATTAAGTAATGTTTAGTCATTATTGCCGAAATCTGCAACTTAATTATTCTTTAAATTGAGTCTCTCAGCTTAAGGGAATATTAAAAAAATTAAAGTTCTCTCTTGTAACTTGAAGTGTTCTCAAATAAATGTATTCTAAGGAAAAGATAATATTGCATGTTTTACAGTAAAAACGGAGAAGAAGACGGTACAGTTTAGTGATGATGTTCAGATAGAAACAATAGAACCAGAGCCGGAGGAACAAGCCTTTATTGATGAAGTAAGTGATTTCCATACTTGGTATTGAAGTTGGAATATTTTTCTTGTCTTCTTTGAAAATAATTAATGCATGTGTTGTTTTAGTATAAAAACAAACAATATAGTCCCATTCTTGCCATGTCAGCACTTATTATACCTCATTTTTTAAAATTTCTGTTTAATATTTTACAAAATGGATATATCATGGTTTTTTAATTCTGCTTTTGGACAGTGAGGTTGTTTTAATTTTTTTTTCCTGTTTTTTTTTTTTTTCTATTACAAACACTATTATGAAATTTTAAAAATATATTTCAAATAATGTATAATCATTTTATTTTAAAATGTTTGTACTTAATGCTAACATTTTCAACTTATGATGAAAAATGAGAAGTTATCTTTAAAATATGTGAAGGCATTAATAAGTATTTAGCCTTCTTTTAGGGGAGCCAGAGCAGAAAGCTTGAAGAGTATTCTTTTTACAGAAATAGATTGTAGAAGACTGCTAGGAGCCAAGGAATCTAACTGGATTAGGGGAAAGGTAATTAGCTGATTGCATTACGTAAGAAATGCATGTAGAGTCAGTTAAGGGTCTCTCTAGAAACACTGTTTCTTTGATAGTAGGTAATTTCAGATAGAGTGTAGTATTCTGTAAACACAACAAAAATTATCCAGGTGTTAGTTTCTTTTACCAACTGCAATCACCCCTTCTTACCCCCCTCCCCCACTCCTTTTTTTTTTTCTGTAGGAAAACTTTTCTGACATGTGCCTTTTTTGGACTGCTTGAAATGAAAGTTGTGAATATTTTACATTGAAAAATAGTACCAATTTCAAAACATAATATTCTTTTGCCTTCAGAAGTTTCTTATATGCTATGTCACTTTGACTCTCTAGTAATTAATTCATCCCTCAAACTGTTCTTCTATATGTAATGCAGAGTTTTTGTTCTTTAAATAACTTCTGTGCTTTGAATTGGTAGTCTTTACATTATTTACCTAATGTACATATGTTTAATAGTATAACCCTGTAAAAACCATGCATGGGAAAAGCTTGTAATAGTATTTTTTGGCATGCTCTGTAAGATTGGTATTTTGATTTTTTTAAAAACCTACATTTAAATACATACGTACTTATAAAATGTATAGAATACTAATATAAAGATCGTTTTATTAGCCCCATTAGTGATTAAAACAAAAGATTCTAAAGTACGATTAAATCATTGCCTAGAGATGCTTTCCAGCCTTTCCCACATAAAAGAATAGAGAGACCACAAACTGAAACATTGGTAGCAAGAAAATGTAGACAAGTCTTTATGGCCCTACTTAGAAAGAGAACAGCTGTAATATAGCTGAGCTATGCCTTTCTAAAACAGCTGTTGTATTCACCCTGGGGAGAAGTAATAACTGAGTTGTTAGTCATAAGTAATGCCATCGTGAGGCAGAGGTTACACCTGTCAGCATGTTAAGGCTACAGCCTCTTCAAAACAAAGTGAAATTCACTGCCATGAAATTAGATTGAAGAACTCACATATTGTAAGTTTAAATGTGGCTCCATCCTCGTTTAAGAGAATCACTGTGGTAAAAAATAAGTAGTAAGAGCTTTCGAGGCTCTGACTTTACATGGTACTTAAAGTACACAGATATTAACCACATAAAAACAAAATTGGAGTCTACATATCTGAATTACAAAAGTTCTCTATCCATTATCTAATTAACAAAGTGAGACCATATTGTTGTGTAATGACTAGTTGCTTTTTATATTAACTATTTAATTCCTGTAGGACAAAATGGACCAGTTGCTACAGATGTTGCAAAATACAGATCCCAGTGATGAGCAGCCAGATCTTCCAGAGTTACTTCATCTTGAAGGTAAACCTTATTTTTCATTTATCTTCCAAATAAAGGATAATTAGAGATTATATCTACTGTTCTGTTACAGAATGATTCATATTTAAATAAAATTAAAAATGATACAAAACATGTTCACATTTCTCACTCTTCTGTGACCCAGTCTGACATTTATATGCTATTTAAAACTTTGGTAGAATTCACATTCTTATACAGTTCTATACAAATTAAATATTTTATTTGAAATATCCAAATATTTTATTCAATATTTTAGAATGCCGTAAAATAAATATTGGTATTTTAATATTTTTGAGACCAAGAAAATAAATCTTGGGGTCTCTTTATTAATATAATTTTTATTACTCGAAATTATATCTTGTATTTCTTATATGAATATTCATCAGAGATTTGCTTTCTTTATTTGCATTTTCTTATATTTCTTCAAATCTTGTCACCTTAGCAATATGTCACCAGATGGGACCTCTTATTGATGAAAAGCTGGAAGATATTGATAGGTAAAAGAGCATTTACCCTCTCTCTATTGTGTACCTTCTTCCCTGAAGTTCTCTGTAAATTACATACTGGGATAGAGCTGCCATTATAATTAATTTTATTATGAATTTTATTTACTTTTTTCTATTGTGCTATATTTTATTTTTTAATTTTTCTATTTTATTTCACTTGAATTTTTTATTTTTATTTTTTAATATTTTCTATTTTTAAATGCCAAAAGAACCAGTCCTCATTTACTTGTTTTCTACTAGATGTGGGAATTTGAATTAGACCCAGCTCTCCTCTTTTCTTATCTTTTTTTAAGGTGAGGGTTTATTTGACCTTCACTATATTAGTCTTTTTTAAAAATAAGGGTTAAATATTATAATCATGAGTGACATTACCAAAACCCAAATGACTCATCTATTATTTTCTCGGGAAACCTAAATATTTCAAAGTAAAGTCAACGACAATAAGCTCTCCCTACTTAGAAATAGATTGAGTTTTGTTTTTTTTTTAAATATATTTTATTGATTTTTTTACAGAGAGAAAGAGAGAGGGATAGAGAGTTAGAATCTTCGATGAGAGAGAATCATCGATCAGCTGCCTCTTGCACACCTCCTACTGGGGATATGCCTGCAACCATGATACATGCCCTTGACCAGAATCGTACCTGGGACCTTTCAGTCCACAGGCTGATGCTCTATCCATTGATCCAAACCCGTTTTGGCTAAATCTGAGTTTTGATTGCCTTGGAGCTAAATACGGGATATTTTCTGTCACAAGGTAAATTTTTAATAATGTCTGTATCATTTTTTGCTATTTTGATATTCCTTATTATTTAGAATATTGGACTAATTAAATAGCAGTTATTTTTCAAATTATTGTATAATATTTCAGAAAACATTCGGAACTCTCAGAACTTAATGTTAAAGTGATGGAGGCACTTTCATTGTATACCAAGTTAATGAATGAAGATCCAATGTATTCCATGTATGCAAAATTACAGAATCAGCAGTATTATATGCAGTCATCTGGTGTTTCTGCCTCTCAGGTAAGCTTTTAAAAACTAAACTATATCATTTTAAATTCTCAAATATATTTGAGAGTATTTGGAATAAATGTGTTTTTATAAAATTTGAAACTTTTTAAAAGTAATGTAAAATAAATTTTAAAGTAAATTTTTACTTAACAAATACAGTGTATACTATATAATTATACCAATTATATAGTATATACTGTATTTTTTTAAAAATATTTTTATTCATTTCAGAGAGAGGAAGGGAGAAGGGGACAGAGAGAGAAATATCAATGATGAGAGAGAATCATTGATCAGCTTCCTCTTGCATGCCCCACATGGGAGATTGAGCCCTCAATTTGGGCATGTGCTCTGACCAGGAAATCAAACTTAACTGGTTCATAAGTTGATGTTCAACCACTAAGCCATTCCAGTCGGGCCCAATAGTTGTTTTTTTAAAAATTATTTTTCTGTAGCGGTATGCATCAGAATCTCCCATCAAACTTTTTGAAAAAGTATGGATGCTTTGGTTCTACCCAGACTTGTTAAAGCAGAATCTTCAGGAGGGAGGCCCAAACGTGTGCATATTTTAAAAGCATTGTATGTAATTATCTGGTTAAGAACTGCAGTTTTTTTTGTCTCAGTAAAATTTCTAATTATTACTAAATTCTTCTGGGTCTGTACAGTGTTCAGTAAAATAGTGAGCTGCTTTAATCAAGTATTTCACTCCTTTCCCTCACATAACACATGAAATGCAATACAGAGCTCTTTCCCTCTCTTTTTGGTACTCCTCACCCGAGGATATTTTTTCCACTGATTTTTAGAGAGAGTATAAGGAAGAGGGGGTTAATAGAAAGAGAGAAATATTGATACCAGAGAGACACATCAATTGGTTGCTTCCTGCTTGTTCCCTGTCCAGGGCTGGGGATCAAACCTGCAACCCCGTACCCTTAACTGGGAATTGAACCCATGACCCCTTGGGTTCATCCACCGAGATGGATATTTTATCCACCGAGCAATACCAGCCAGGGTCCTTTCCCTCTTTTCAGCTCAAATAACTATTTAAAGAGCTCTTCCCACAAACTCAGAAAGTTCAGGGTATAGGGAGTAATTTGCCAGGCACTTCATTTTATCCATGTAGAGTGGTATAAACATTATATAGGTTAATTTTTGTTTTTAGCATAGGGGCTTAATCACAAGGAACAACAACAGCCTGTAATTATTGGAATTGAGAGTCTAGGTCAGTGGTTGGCAAACTCATTAGTCAACGGAGCAGCAAACCGCGTCTCCCAAGCCTCAGTTTGCTGACCACTGGGCTAGATGATTCCTACTCACAGGTGTTGATATTAATTTGAGCCAAAGAAATCCCCCCAAAGCCTTTCATGTTCAGTTTGAGAAGTACAAAAATATGCACTCATGAGGACCAGAATAGCTGTGTTTATAATGAAGACTTTTGGATTCTAATGCATGGGAAGTATCTTAGGACTTAACCGAAGTGCCAAGATGATTGAACCTTGTTTCCTGATGATTGGGTTACTGTCTTTAAAACTGGTAAAAAAGCGTTACTACATAGATAGTAGCATTCTGTTATCAAACATGTGAAATGGAAGGATTTAAAGAATACAAAGAAAACTAGAATATTATGTGTTTGAAGATTTTTGGAACTTAAGGCTTCAATCTCTTTAGATTCAGACAAGTACAGTTTTTAGATGCAGTAGTAGACAAACAATGGCCCAAGGGCCAAATCCAGCCTCCCATCTGTTTAAATAAGCTTTTATTGAAACACAGCCATTTTCTTTAGTTTACTAATTATTTCTGGCTACTTTCTATATAGGTCAAATTCAGTAGTTGTGACAGAAACTATATGGCCCACAAAGCCTAAAATATTTACTATTAGGACTTTTACAAAATAGTTTGCTGACTAAGCCTACTTTAGAAAGTTAGTTTGTTCTGTGTTCAGTAAACTAATTTAAGATATTTAAAATTGAATCTATAAGCAGATGCAATCTTGATACACACAGTCAATTCAAAGATTCTTCTTAAACATCCTTTGGAACTCCTTTTAGGGAAGTACTTAAAATATCAACATGGGAAAAGATACTATATTAGTATAAAGTTTCAAGATAAGTTCCTTTACTACTTCTGGAAAGAGGTAAACATGAGTTTAGCCAATGTTTACCTAAGAATTGAAATATTCAGAAGCCAATTTAACTGAAAAATATTTAACTGAAGTAATTATGAAAAAAGACTTCAGGGATATAATTGTTCTTTTTGTTAACTGAATGTCTCTAAAAAAAAGTTTGGCATGCTTATTAAAATCTTAGAAAATCTAATGTGTTATCATGAACTGTTTTAGGTATACCCAGGGCCTCAAAGTGGTACTTACCTGCTTGCAGGGAATGCCCAGATGGCCCATCTCCAGAGCTACAGCCTTTCTCCAGAGCAACTCTCTTCCCTCAGCCAAGGAGCAATTCCATCCTCTGCAACCCCTGCCCTTCCTGCTCAGCAGGCTCAGGCTTCTTACCCTAGGTAATTTGATTATTAACTACTATTTGGAGTTCATGTTATTATTAAAGTTCTCTTTTGTAATATCTTTAAAAATTTTTTTTTTAAATTTTATTTTAGAGAGAGAAGGAGAGAGAGAGAGAGAGAGAGATGAGAGGTGAAAGAGAAACATTGATCTGTCGCCTCCTATAAGTACCAGGGAGAGAAAGGTGAGGGAGAAACATCGATCCGTTGCCTCCAGTAAGTACCTGAAATGTGGATTAAACACAAAACCTGGGTATGTACCATGACCAAGAGTCAAACCCCACCTCCTTTCAGGTTTGAGTCACACTGGTCAGGGAAAAATTCTTAAGTGCCCTGGATCATCTCTAACCAGAATTGGATAAGAAACTCCAGAATAGATGCCTTCACTAATACCAGATGTTTAGCTCTGTTTGTGGTGATGAGTGAGTTCTGCAGGAACCCCTGCAGTAATGCAGCAATAGCCAGCAAGCCAGATCTCTGTCTTACTGACTCACTGAACTGCAGTATTCTGATTCTAACTTTGTCATAATTTATTTTTGTTTTATTTAAGTCCATGATGGTATTTACTAAGGATTTTAATGAAACTTAGATTTGATAACTATATGTTGTTTTTTACAAATTTCATAACAAATTTAAATGTTTTTATCATTATTGTTTCATAATTTATGGTTCTGAAAGACACACATTTCCTTCTTTTTGTCCTGTATTGGAATTTATTTTTTTTATTTTTTATTTTTTTAAAGTTTTATTTATTTTTATTTTCAGTATAAGTGCGTCCTATATATTGCACAGGCCACACTTCTTTTATTTTATTTTTTTATTTTTATTTTTTATTTTTTGAATAAATCTTTATTGTTCATATTATTACAAATGTTCCTCATTTTCCCCCTCTGCATTGCTCTCCTCCACCAGGTTCCCACCCCACCCTCTGCCCTTTCCCCACCCCCCATTGTCCTCATCCATAGGTGCACAGTTTATGTTCAGTCTCTTCCCGCACTTCCCCACTCCTGTTTTCCCTGAGAATCGTCAGTTCACTCCCCTTCCATACCTCTAATTCTATATATTCACCAGTTAATATTGTTCATTAGATTTTTTAATTTCCTTGGTTTTTAAATTCACTTGTTGATAGTTACGTATTTATTGTTCATAATTTTTATCTTTATTTTCTTCCTCTTCCTAAAGAACCCCCTTCAGCAATTCATATAATTCTGGTTTGGTGTTGATGAACTCCTTTAGCCTTTTTTTATTTGTGAAGCTCTTTATCTGACCTTCGATTCTGAGTGATAGCTTTGCTGGGTAGAGTAATTTTGGCTGTAGGTTCTTGCTATTCATCACCTTGAATATTTCTTGCCATTCCCGTCTGACCTGCATGGTTTCTGTTGAGAAACCAGCTGACAGTCGTATGGGTGCTCCTTTATAGGTAACTACCTGCTTTGCTCTTGCTACTTTTAATATTCTCTCTTTGTCTTTTGCTCTTGGAATTTTAATTATGATTTGTCTTTGGTCCTCTTTGGATTCCTTTTGTTTGGGGTTCTGAGGACTTCCTGGACTTGTAAGTCTATTTCTTTCACCAGGTGGGAGAAGTTTTCTGTCACTATTTCTTCCAGTATTCTTTCAGTATCTTGCTCTCTCTCTTCTTCTGGGATCCCCATAATTCTGATGTTGGTTTGCTTGAAATTGTCCCAGAGGTTTCTTACACTATGTTCAACTTTCTGGATTCTCTTATCTTCTTGCTTCTGCAGAGGAGTGTCCTCTGGCTCTTTGTGTTCTAAATCTTTGTCTTGATTCTTGCGATCTTCCAGTCTGTTTTTAGGACTCTGTATAATATTTTTTATTTCAGACAATGTTTTCTTTATTTCTAGTTGATTCCTTTTCATATCCTCATAGGTCTTGTTTATTTTACCGGCGTTTTCTAGGAAATTCTTGAAAAACCTTATAAGTGTGGCTTTGAACTCTATATCCAGTCACTTTTTGTCTTCCGTTTCTTTCGTTTGTGATGTTTCCTTGTCTTGGCATTTTTGCTGCTTCCCTGAGTTGGTAGGTTGGCTTTGTGTGCTAAGGTGTCTTATATGGCTCTGTGGGTCAGTCTCCCAGTTACTTGAGGTGGACACTCTTGGTCCCCCCCTTTGTGGACTGTGTGTACAACCTTGTTGTAGTTAAGTCTTGATTGTTGTTGGTATCACTGGGAAGAACTGACCTCCAGGCCAATTGGCTGTGTGGATCAGCTGTGTCTATGCCAGGAGACAGCCTTATTCAACTAGACTTGGAAAATTTCAAAAGCCTCTGTGCTCAGCTTGGATGGGGCAGAGTTTCAGGGTGGAGCCTACAGCCTTGGCTTGGTCAAAGTCCCTTCTCTGCGAGCAAGGTGCTCGCCTCCGGGACTTCCTTTCCCCATTCCCCGGAGTTTCCACCTTATAGCCCAGACTCCCTCCGTATGTGCCTGGGTCCCCAGAGTCTGGCCTAGTACTGGGGTTCAGTGCAGTCAGAACTGGGGTTCAGCACAGTTTGGAGCTTTTATCTCCTTCCCTCTAGGGAATGCTAGCCAGGCACTCAGACTCCCCTTCCTCTCCGGCTCCTTCTTCTCCTTGCGTGCACTGTGTCTCCATAACTTAGGCTTTTACAGCTCCTCTGATTTTCCTTCTGGTTTTCTCTTTCCTTCTAGTTGTAGAATTTCCAGTCAGTCAACTTTTCTGTAGTTCTGGATAATGTCCATTTTGTATTTTAGTTGTGTGTGTGTGTGGTTTTTTTTTTTTTTGTTCTTTTTTTTTTTTTTTAAATTATTGTGTGAGGCTGCAGTTAGGCATTTACCTATGCAGCCATCCCTGTGTTGGAATTTAATATATACCACAGCAAGATATATCATTTGAAAAGAGATGGACATTTTACCCCTATGGTCCAAATATTTTACCCCTGTGGTCCATTGGGCAAATATCTGAATATAAAATGATAGGCTCATTGTTTTGACCATTTACTTATAATATCCTCTATCAATTTGTTAAATGATATAATGTCTTTTCTGCTTCTGTGTGAATCTAAGCTGAAGTTTTTCCCTCAAAACAAATAAAAGGTAGACTTTAGAATTCACCAGTTTGTAATTGTAGAACTTATGTTATTCTGACTCACATTAGTAGAAGTATCTTCGTGCACAGGCACAATTTCTAGAAAACTTTTCTTTAATTTTGGGGTTGCCCATGAATGCTCCTATACTGTCCTTATGTTGTATTATTCATCCTTAAAAGAGTCACACTCTGGGGATGCTTAGGGATTCACAAACAAGATAATCTCTACTGAAAGTAGCTCAGAAAAAAAAAAGAAAAGAAAAAAGGTTAGGTATAGCTCTTTCTGCCCCAGGACTTTTTTTTTTTTAAGTTGAAATTTGGTGAATATCCTTACATGGAAAAGAAGCATACAGGTAGGGAACAGCTATTGTTAGCCTAATGTCTTAAAAACCAGATACAAAGTGAGTAGAGGTAGGTATTGTTGAGAAATCAGCCCGTGTGCATGAGTTATGTGGGAATCTCTTAGGTATTTTAGTGTCATCCAGAAATGCTGTCTCTATCCCAGCTGGTCCTCTGTTACTGTGTCGCATGCTGCTGTAGCTGCCTTGTTCCTTGTTCCTTGAGACCCATTCTTAATTCAGGGCCTTGAGAAACTTCTTTGTAAATCATAGCTGTAACACCTTGTTGCTGTTCTCTGAGGTTTGTTCTATCTGTTTACATAGCCTGTATTTGAAATATCTGATGCAGGGCATGCACTGTATTCCAGGGCCTAACTCTACTGATACTGTGTAGCTATTAATGTCACCTCTCAAGAAACACTTGTGCACTTCAACGGGTGCCTTTTCCTTGACATCTTTAGCCTTCTTTATCTGGCTAATTCTTATTTATCTGTTCTTAGCTTTCTCTTTACTAGAACATCTTCCCACTCCAACACTGTTCCTGCTCTCTTGCTGTCATAGTACCCCAGCCCACTGTGTACTCTCTTGTAATCATCTTTAGACTAGTCTGTATCCCCACCTGAGCTATCATCTTGAGAGGTGGAATCAAGTTTCTTTAACCTTTATATCTATTGTGTGGTAGAGTTTTATACTTGATAAGAACTCAGTAAATACTTGATAAATAAATGTTGAAGATAGGAATTTGAAGTGCTGTGTTGGGCCAGTGAGATATATTTTTAAACTAGTGGCCTGATGCACAAATGAAGATTTGTGCAGGAATGGGCCTTCGTTCCCCTGGCTGCCGGCACCGCCTTCACTCTGGCCGAAGTGGCTGTGGTGGTGTAGGATGTCTTCATCTACCCCATCCCTTGTTGCTCTGGTGCCTGTGTATGCAAATTAACTTGCTATCTTTGTTGACTTAATTTGCATATTCACTCCTGATTGGGGGATGTTGCAAAGGTACCGTCAATTAGCATGTTACTCTTTTATTAGGTAGATTATTTATAGAGGTTTCACAAAGGCTTTGAGGCAATTTTTAAAAACATATATAAATGTATAACATAATATATAAGAACAGGTTGGGGCAAAATAGATTTATAATTATGAGTATACAAAACACAGATTTTATTCTTATATTATTATTTATTAATTAGTGTATTATTTTCCATACCAACAACTGTATTTGACTCAAGCTTTCTAATTGCAGATCAAGGTCACTGAGTAATTTCCCGCCCCCCATTTTGGTGGGCAAGTTTTTCTTTGGTGGCCCTCGTTCATATCTAGGAGGCAAGTTCTTATTCTTTTACATATAATTTTGGTTCTAGTGTTCTTTTCCAGACTATGTAATAACTTTAGTATGATCTTACTCAGTTGTCGGCAAACGGCGGCTTGCGAGCCACATGAGGCTCTTTGGCCCCTTGAGTGTGGCTCTTCCACAAAATACCATGGCCTGGGTGAGTCTATTTTGAGGAAGTGGCGTTAGAAGAAGTTGAAGTTTAAAAAGTTTGGCTCTCAAAAGAAATTTCAATCGTTGTACTGTTGATATTTGGCTCTGTTGACTAAT